GGGGACCTGAGACCCTCACACAGACATACATGTAGACAAAGCACCAATGCACATAAAATAAAAATAAATAAATTAAAAAAATTTGTATTTCTGGACTGTAAGAGTGGATCTGAAGTAGAGCCCCTGCCTAGAATCCCCCAGTGAGGGGCTGGGGGCGTGGCTTGGTGGTAGAGTACTAGCCTCACATCAGGGAGAACCTAGGTTCAAACCTCAACACAATAAAAATAAATAAAGAGGACGTATTTACTAGAACAGGGTGTCACCATGCTCGGCTCAACTTTTCTATATGAGTATGCTCTAAAATTTTGGAAGACGGTTGGGTGATAAGTAGTTCAGTGGGTAATGATGCTTGCTGCTGTTCATCCCAAAGATGGGAGGAGGAGAATACCAACCCAAATTATCATGGCCAAAATAATTAAAGCAAGCTTTTTTTGTTTTGGTTTGTTTTTTTCCAGGTAAGGTTTCCCTCTGTAGCCCTGGCTATCCTGGAACCTCATATGTGGACCAGGCTGGCCTCAGACTCAGAAATCCACCTACCTCTGCCTCCTGAGTGCTGGGATTAAAGCGTTTGCCACCACCGCCCTGCTAAAGCAATCTTTTCTTATTCATGTACAGGGGCTGCCTCTCAATAAGGCAGGGTTTGAGAGGCCAGCACTGGATGCGAAGAAGACAAGGCTTTTATAGCTCAGGGGTAGGAGGTTTCCAAAGGGAGGATTTGGTGGACAAAATAGTTGGGGTTACAGGAGCAGGACAAACAAGTTAGTCCTAATGGCCTCTTGAAACAAAGACATGGTTGCAAGGTGGGCAAAACAAGGCAGTCATAGTCATGACAAGGCAGTCACAGTCATGACAAGGCAGTCACAGTCATGACAAGGCAGACACAGTCAGGACAAGACAGTCACAGTCATGACAAGGCAGTCATAGTCATGACAAGGTGTCATAGTCATGACAAGGCAGTCACAGTCATGACAAGGCAGTCATAGTCATGACAAGGCAGTCACAGTCATGACAAGGCAGTCATAGTCATAACAAGGTGTCATAGTCATGACAAGGCAGTCACAGTCATGACAAGGTGTCATAGAACAAAGCAGTCACAGTCATGACAAGGTGTCACAGTCAGAACAAGGCAGTCACAGTCAGAACAAGGTAGTCATAGCAACAGATAGTCATAGGGGGTCATATAACCTGTTCAAACAAGAGTAGGGTTTCAAGATGGTTATAAAAAACCTTTTGAAACAAAGACATGATTGCCATTCCTGGAGCAGGAGTGCAGAACCATTTGTAGTTAAGGTGGGGCATAGCCCAATCCTTGAGAAACAGAGGTTTAATCATAAACAGGAACGAACCTAG